ATACAAGATTAATAGCAGTTATTAAGATTGATGTTGTTTGGAATTGGTTAAATGTGCTTGGAAAAAAATAAAATCAGAATATCAACTTGCATAATAATTATGCATGCACTGTACAGTATTTTCCCTCTTCCGCTGTCATCAGCAATGCAAGGAATGTTGTGATTGGTTGTCAAGGCAGCCAATCAGAATTTAGCAGCCTCGTCTCTGATTGCCCGGAATTATGGCATTTTGTAAGGCTGGGTTGTGTTGAGGAAGCCAGCCGTAGGCATTTAGAGAGCACTGAAGGCAGGCATCAGGTGAGCAAGCTAGTGAAACGTTGCACATGTAAAAGAGAAGGACTGCACACATCCAAAAACTTATTTTAAATGCAAAATTGATTTTAGTGCGCTCTAAATACTTTTTTCTTTGCGAAACGAACATTTTCTTCACAAAACTCAGATCTCGCACATACAAAATGCACTTTTGTGCGCTCAAAATATGATCTTTCGTGCACAGAATTGTGGCAGAGATCTAATCCTATAAATAAACGCCTGGTCCCAAACTCATATCTCCATGGTAACAGATGCCTGGAAGGACATGAGTAATATTCCGCAACATGATCCACATCAGGATCCATAGGTAATGCATATGGTCTGAGATTGTTCTTTCAAATCGTTGACATACTTTTGAGGTTTCCTCTAGCCTAGTGCAGCTCTCTAGCTTTTAATTTGTGGCTCAAGTGATGTCATAATTGTGGTAAGCACAACCGCAATCTCAGTTTCTTGCCATATTAATAACAAGCATGCCTGGGAGGTATGACTGGCACATTATTTAAAGGGGAAATCCCTTTTTCATTAGCAGAGTTTGTCACATGAAGTTCTGTGAAATGGTAGAAATATGTCAGTCAGTATGAATTTGTACCATTTATACTGTGGTTTTAATTTAATTATCTTAAAGATTTTATATGTTTCTATGCAAATTCTATGCCGGGTAGCACACTTAGGTTTCTGGAAGTTTTTGGCAACACGCCAAGCCTTATTTGACTAAACTCGGTTTGTGGACACTTGTAGTTCTACATGCCTTGCTGTTTTGTGTGATGTTAGTCTCATAATTATAAAAATCCTCCCTTTAAATGTTTAATGCTTATCAGATCTGAAACTATGTTGCCTTTCAAATGTAACATCATATCAGTTTGAAGAAGAATGAGATTAGTAGTTGAGTGTATGAGTGTATAGTTATTACTATTTAAGTCATCACTCAGTTTAATTCAACTTTTTTTGTATAGCACTTTTCCCAATAAATATTGTTTCAAAGCAGCTTCACAAAAGTGCTTTGAATACAATCAGGAAGTAATTGGTTAATTGGTCAGAAATTAGTGTCAGAGTATTATCCATGTGGGACTAGTATTCAGGTTATATGGCTAGTTATGTATTTAGTTAAGTATACATAATGAATATATTAGGCAATGATTACAATAGAGATGTGCATATATGTGCACTTAGAGCATGTGGAGAGTATATAGCCTCAGATTGTTGCGTCATTGAGCCATCTTTTGGAAGGACATGTGGTGTATTTGGCAGGGTGAGAGCTGCGATATAACAGTCAAGGACCCCTGGAATGTCAACTATTGTTCAGTGGTATTTCCTCTATCCTCATTAAGTTTACTGCCTCTGTTTAACACAATTACTATAGTTAACAGAAATGAGAACAAATCAGAACATTTTATGTAATCGGATGTGTGTCTGCATTGTTTTTTGATGTAATCACATGCAGGGTGATTGCAGGAGAATTATAGTGGAAATGAATTAAATGAGGCGAACAGATTGTAAATGATCAGATCAAAATAATGTGTTTTGTTTATAGGAAAAACTGATGAAGTAAATACTCTCATTCCATTTTCTCAATTTTTTAAATTATACTGTTGACTGCATTCATCAAGCATTCAACACTGCAATTCAACCCTTTTAACAAATTTATTGTAAATTATCAAATAAATATGTTTACTGTATTCTTTAATTTATGGGAAATAAACATTGCATAACTCCAAATCAACATTTGGTGCAAAAATAGTTAGACACTAACTTGATTTAGGCTAAATCTTA